TGGGATACCAAATGAAAAATCTTATATACTGAAACTATGTATGGATGGTTTTGAAGAACGAAAGAAATGTTCCCTTTTGAAAAGGCTGATGCTCAAAATTTTTAGATGTTTTAAAGATCCTCAATAATTTGCCATAAATTTTGGCTGATCTGTAGAATATCCACAACTTGAAGATAAATGAGAAATTACATATTTGACGCATTTCTTACACTCCTAATTGGACTTGTTGGGGCAATGGGGTAATCTCTACTTAGGTAAAATTATATGTTTGTTAACTGGCATAAGATTGTCTTCATTCAATCTTCAAGAATGATGAAGCTTACCCCTGTTTGTGCCCTTGTGCTGGAAAACGTATTTGAAATCAAATGAAAAATAAAATTTATTTAAATTCACTGTATTTCTCGACAATGAGGTCAAGTGAAGGTATTTAATTTTATTCTGGAATTTCCTTACTATGAATGAGTGAGTATCTTGCCCCTTTATATCTACACACATATAGTCAACGCCAAACAAAGTGGCGTGCACGTCATCACGATAAAAATTCCCCGACCTAATGTCTAGGTTTCTATCACAAACAATTGCTCTAGTGCAGTTTCATATTAATGTGATATATAAATTGTAAAATGGTCATTACTCTCTTATTATGGTTAATAGTCATATAAACATTGTTATTAAAATATCACATAAGTTGCTTTCTGATAAATTTAGACGCATTATGCGAAATAAAATGTTTTGCAAACGCTCCAATCACTTATCGACATGTAAACGCACTAAACCGATTTCGCAGCGTTGACACATTGTCACCTTGAAACTTATTTAAACTGGGAACTGACATTTGTATTAATTTTGACACTGAATCAATTTGTGGCATTTCAAATCTTTATAAATCCTTTGGCCCCGCATACTGTAAATCAACAACTGTTTGTTTCAAAACAAAATTATTCATTTTACGAGTAGATAAAGGCAATTTTGGTATATAAAGATGCCCAAACAGTTAAATAGTCGGTGTAAGGAACTCGTGGCCTCGTTAATGCACTACTTTGAGCAAGAAAGGGACAACAACGGGCTTTTGTTGCCTTTAAATGCTGTTCAAGAGGTAGGTTACTAATAATTATATGTAATGTATATTAATAATAGTGAAATTTTATTTCATTTTTTGTAGCGTGTTGCTGCTGCTTTAAAAATTAGTTTAAGGACAGTTAGTCGTATTTCCGAGGGTGTGAAAAGTGATGCAAATTTAGAATCGCCCAAGAAAAAGCGGAGTTATATTAAACGTGTAACCAACACAGCGACATCGGATACAAGTGCCATTCGAGAAGTGATCTATAATATGTATCACAAAAGTAAGATCTTATTATAATAACTTATCAGAAATTTGCATTAATTTGTTAACTAAATTATAATGTCATATTACACATGGTTTCAGAAGAACAAGTTACGATACAAACTTTATGGTCTCGATTAAGAGATAGGGCATTATTTGATGGTAGTGCCACGTCTTTAAGGCGGTTGCTTAGAGATCTTGGATTTAAGTGGCTTAAGGACAATCTGCGACGAGGGCTCATGGAACTACCAAGTATAGCTTTGAAAAGGGTGGAATTTCTAAGGCAATACAATCAAGCCAAGGTTGAGGCCTTATACCAGTTTGTCTTCCTCGATGAAACTTGGATATTTCAAAATGGGACCATAGGTCGCTCTTGGCAAAATGGAAACCAAAAAAGCGTGAAAGCTATTAAAACAGATGGTAAAAGGTATGTACTTTTACACAATTTGCACTATAAAATTTAAAACTAATATATTTTAGATACATTATATTACATGCTGGAAATGAAAATGGGTTTATTGAGGGTAGTGAAGCGATATTTTCTTCGAAAACAAAATTGAGCGATTACCATGGAGAGATGAACCAGGACAATTTTTTGAAATGGTTTCAACATCAGTTATTAGAAAAATTGGAGAGTCCATCTATGATTATACTGGATAACGCCCCTTATCACAGCATGATATTGAACAAAGTGCCCAACAATGCATGGACAAAAAAAATATCCAAGACTGGTTGACAAATCAAAACATACCATTTTTAAACACAATGTTTAAAACAGAGCTATTGAGTATTGTTGCTCGGTACATAATGCTTCTTAATTATATATATTTTGGTCGACAGTTTATATTTCTTTTGTTTATTCCTATTCTTAAAATAACTGCTTTTTTAGAAACAAACCACCTAAAATATACGTGATTGATGAATTGGCGGAACAACATGGGCACAAAGTTCTTCGTCTGCCTCCTTACCATTGTATATTTAACCCTATTGAGTTAATTTGGGGCATAGCAAAAGGTTACTATAACAGACATATTGGTAGAGATGGTAACAGTGAAAAAGTTTGGATATGTGGAACGAGGCTCTACAAACGGTTACCCCAGACATGTGGAAAAATAGTGTTCGACATACTGAGCAAGAAATTTTTAAATGGTATGAAAGAGAACGAATTTTTGATCGACCAGACATTGAACCTTTAATAATCAACTTTGAGAGTGATGAAGATTCAGATTCAGACAGCGCTGAAGAAAGAAACTCCGACTAACTTTATTGTACAGAAAAAGCTCACACCAGTAGCTTACCTAATTTTAGAATGCATTTTTCTGTATGAATTCTGTAAAATAAATACCATGCATAAAATTTGGAGGACCCCATTTGGATTTTTATTCAGTACCTTTAAGCTATCAATTAAATATGGTAGTTTCATAGTGTCATCTGATCAATAATTGTCATACTTAATGATTATGCAAGTACAGATCTATAATTTTATTATACTATTATTTTTGTTCTCATTTGAGGTTAATATTGCTTATAAACCTAGATATGTAAATAATAAATTTTATTATTTTACAAAAAGTTTGGCAACAATGTAAATTTTTCAACACACCCACCTTGATGACGTGCACGCCACTTTGTTTGGCGTTGACTATAGAGATTTTGGTATAATGCGGCCATTCTTACATTTCATGTCACTGTCAGGAAATAAATCAACCTACCTTAGACCTGATGAAGGTAGCCTAAGCTCCAGGGCAAAAGTGAGGTTATTTTCTAAGGAAGGTCATGGCTAGACTTCATTGTGTCATAGCTCGGACTTGACATTTCGAGTAAAAAGAAGCGAAAATACACAAAATGTGATTTTAGAAGGAAAATGATAGATATTGCTTTAAATAAAATGTTGAAGAATACCCCATTTATGAGTAAAAATGAGTATGAAGGTATGGAGCCCACGTAAGGGAAATACATATTATTGCCTGGTTAGTATTTGATTTATCTGTTTGACAGATTTTTGCATCCATTATTCACTTCTAACAAGATGGAAAACATAATATTTGTATACAAAAACAAACTGCTGTTTAACATTCTGGTATAATTATGGAGAGACAAAAAAGTCTTGCAAAAATCTTTGGACAGTCTAATTAAGTCATAATATTTCAAATGGCGAGTCGAATTTGTAAATGAGTAACCACAATTATTATCTAGACTAAATGAGATCAACATATTAGTAAAGCAATAAGCTTATTAGTCATAGTGCTCAATTTTATACATAACAATCTAGTTTGCTGCAAGCAATTATATGGGCAATTAAAATTATATTGTCTAAATTAATGTTGAATTTGCGAACGTCACATCCTTGTATATTGCACAACGTAAACGGTAACGTTTACAAACGTAATGGAAAAATAAACAAACGGTGCTAAAATAAACTTGACTTTTTTTGTCTTTAACTCAATTTTTTCTCTATTAGCCACTCTTATCTGTTTACCCAGTTATATGGTTGATTCCACGAATTTTCAACAATGGTTCCTATTTGTATTTATAGTGAGGAGTCATGGTAGTTCCTAGATAATAAGTGCATTCCCGAACACACACGGCTATTTCTGTTCGTTTTCCACTTGTGATATCTTGCGTGTAATTAAAATATATGGCCAAACTTTAAAGGGTGACTCTTTGAGCTATTCTAAAACGAAATGTTTGTATATATATATGTTATATATATAAACAAAAAGGTCCGCGAACTATTCGTTTCCATGTCAATCAATAATACTTGCTCCATCCAGTTTGGTTGATATTTGTCAAATTGTCACGCCCTTCAGATGTGAAGCCTGTGAAGTTCAAATTAAAAATGTCGTCAAGTAGAATGACTTTCTAATTCCCACGTAGTTCTAGACAAGTTGATCAATCAGCAGTGTGTACTTATAATATCCAAGTCAACTATTGCACACTATTGCATCTTGATTAATCAATGGCAACGAACATCCTTCTGCCTTGGCATAAGAATATACAGTAGAATGAGTATCAGTTAAGAGAACTATTATTGATTCAAAGAGAATGAAGTTATGGACTTTGAATAAATACCATGTATAAATACGTTTAGGTATCGTTACAGATACAGGATATAGCGTTTCATAATGTTTAGGAGGTTCTAACACATCAAAAAGGCGCTTTTTGTACCTTTCATCAACGACACTGAAGCGACTTTCGAAAACTACTAAGCTTTTCCGCCATCGGTGTAGTATTAACCTTGTGTGACAATTTCATCGTGATCTGGCTGGTACTCTCCAAGTTATAAGTGGCAAGTGTTAAAAGTATTCAGAAGCATAGCAGTTTTATAGGACTTGTTTCCCTTTGCAATGGTACGGTCACAAACGAAAAGGAGAAGAATATGCTCAAATTTCGTTTTTATTTTAGCCATTCTATAGGTTCCTTGTCATTTCTAATTCATTATTTTTTTATAGTGATCTGTATTGTCGAATTTCCTTATGAATTAAATTGATTTTATCATAGAGAGCTGAATTTATGGAAGATAAAGTCAAATCAAACTGTTAGGTACACGCCTACGAGAGCCCCAGCATACCGATTCAATGTATGGGAGGAACTTAGCGATACCGCCCGCGTCATCTAGCGGGATGTTGGCTGTCGACATATATTCTCAGATGAGACCGATCACATAAAATGTTTGTTATTCTTTGGCATTATTGTATTTGTCACTTCTCGTGCAGTAAAAACCTTCATAAAATAAAGATTGTAAAGTTTGATCTACCTCATATCTTGAAAAAGAATATTTTTTTCTTGAACCGCCTATCCTCCAACCGTACATTCATTAATCCCGAAAAAACAAGCTTCGAATTAAACTAATTCCAAAAAATTATTCAAAATTTGGGGTGATATAAACCTGCGAGTGTGCTTGTACTTCTAATAATAGAAAATATCGCGACTCCGTTACTTTCACAGCTACCTAATCAACAGCAAAGCAGAAAATTAATTATTTTGTATTTATCTTGATAACAATCGTATTCTCATGTTTTTAACTACTAAGTGAATTAATAACAGCAGGTTTTTATGTTTTAATGTTGTTGTGGAAACTATAAAGGCATTAGCTGAATCATTATGCGTAGTAAATGTGCTATTTTTTCTGCTCCTCGGCTTTTTCACACACACACCATCATACACGTACATGCCTGTTTAGTGCAGTTCGCATGCAGAAAAATCTCTTTTTATCTGTTATTGTTATTTTACGGAATCAAATGGGCATGGTGATGCTTTCAACGGTATTTATAATTATTGTTTATGGTTAATAAATCATAAGCATTATTTCATGTCTTTTGCATAGGGTGTTTTAGAAGATGTGGCCAGTGTCCCGAATTTATATAGGGGGTGGCTTAGAAAAACATGAAAACATTTCTACTGCATAAAGTAGATTATCAGGTATCACAAGGAGTTCATATAAACATGAGTTCTAAAATACTATTTTACCGATATTGAGGATGTTGAAAATATAATTTCTAAATCAAAAAAAAAATATCTTCGCGTGGATTGGAATATTGACACAAACTTTTACTAACGTAAATCCATCATAGCCAACACATAAAAATGTTGGTGCCTGAGTCTTCACCAGTGGTCTAGTAATTAGAAAATTTCGACTCCTACAGAAGACGAAAAAGCATTATCTCCTGCTCTAACACCTTTTTTAAACGTCTGTTGCATTTTTGAATAAGGTATTCAATTTTACCCGAATCACCTCTCTTGAGAAATTTTTATCGGGTTATTTCTTTAGGAGCAAACTGGGTTTGAATATTTGAGGCATGATTCGTACGAAAAACTATAACCCGTTGTACTTCGAAAATACGCTGAAGTTAGGGAAATTCGACATTGAAAATTTTATATATTGTATTAAGAGAAAAAGTGTAACTCAGCATAGCATTTTCGAACAATGTCTATGTTTTGTCTTTATCCAGTCTCATCAATTTCGTAAATGATCTTGGTAATGGAACATCTTATAACCTATGTGTATTTCTGGATCTAGTGTCCATCCTAGAAATGAAGCTACGTTTTTCGAATCGTCCTGTATACAGCTGACAACAAAAATGACTTATGAGATTGAATAAGTATGAGTTTTCCCTGCAGACATTTGTCAGAAAATTTCTGACAAAAAAGCGGCAATTAAGCAAGCGAAGAGGTCTTGTCACCAAGATGACATTCACAGAGCAACGAATCTTGTTCATGAAGTGAGAAATGGGCTTCATGAATTCCGTAATGATCAATGGAGCGACTTTCTGTCGAGGATGCTTGACTCAAGTATTCCTCTCTGGAAAGTTGCAAAGTCGCTCAGAAACGGAAAGCGAGAACAACTGCCGCACATCCATGGTCCTAGGCGCATAGTCTGTAGGCCAGAGGAAAAGGTCGAGGTTTTCGCTGATGCAATGGAAAGTCAGTTCTCTCCCAATCTATGACATTGATAATGACCTCGACGAGGAGCAACATATTGTAAGATTCGTTAGGAAATATTTTAGGGCCAACGGCGTCAGTGGCAGTAGTGCCTTCCTTAATGATTTTTCCTCAGAGGAATCTTCAGAAGATTCCTCAACTGAAGAGCTGCATGGCACATCAGCGGATTCTCCTGAGACTCTGCACTGCACACCAGCAGAGCCCCAAGGTCATATTAAAGACCTCAAGGTGCGTAAAGCACCTGGAGAGAAACGAAGCCTGCAGGTTTTGCAGAACAGAACCTTGCGTACAATCACTAACGCGCCATGGTATGTTTCCAACGAGACCCTTCACAGAGACCTTGACATCTCTTACCTAAGGGACTACGTCAAACAACAAGCGCAGCTACGTTATAGTCAAGCGGAATCGCATAGCAACCCTTTGTTGCGCGAGTCAGTAGGCTACACAGTCGAGCAAGTTCGCAAGCACACAAGGCCGCACTGTGAACAAAATTAAATCGTGCGACTTTAGGTCCAACCAAAATTATATTTTTTCTCCAACAACCAATCCCAAAATTAATTTTAGGATCGATTTAAAATTGCCGAATACTAATTAGTAATGCCAAGGCACCCCTCAACTTGACGCACTTCTTTTTTCTTTGCTCTCTCTCCTTCCTTCCTTTCTTCTTCCCTTCTTTCTCCCTGACTTTGTTTGGTATCTGGGCAACCAGACCTGACAGACCTACTGAGTTACAAGACTTTAACCAAGAGCAAAGGCCCTACGGACCGCTCTGACAGACAATGACGAATGGAAGAGTTTTTCTTTAATAATTTCGAATAGAGTTACTTCTATGCCAAGGACGGAATAGGATTGTGGAATTTAAAATTATGTCTGTCGCAGTGATACTACGAACAAGAAAATGATAAGAACTTCCTGAACCTTCGTTTTGAAGACTCTGCTCATATCAAGCCATTTTTGGAGGGGTTGAAAATTGTGGGCTGAAGATTATGGATGGTAGAGGTGCGTTTCTGGTATCAATGAATCACTTAGGACTATCGTATATTAATCAGCACATCGAATGCCAGCCAAAAGACACAATGATATAAATATTTTACTTATTTCCGGGCATTCCGAGTCAGGAAAATATAATATATTTCAACACAGAACTCCTGGCTGACAGTTTAAAAGTAGGTATGTGGTGTCAGTCTTGATGACTGATACAGTACCATCACAGATTATACAGATGCGACACCTGCTGTCGGTCCCTTTGAGCTTTGTGTCTAAAACTGCTTACGATATTTCTCGCTTATGTTCATTAGCGCCCAGAGGATTTTTTCTTAGGGGCTGTTACGCGTTATTAGCCTGGTGTCACGAATGTCATATGTCAAGCTACAGAACGAAGAAATTTGTGTTTATTATTTCCCAGGTGCATTTAGACCAGATAATTGATTTGTATTTGTAAAACTGTTTTATAGTCACGTGTCGAAACATTCCACGGATAACCCCTAAATGCCCCAGCAACAGGAATCCCACCAAACACATAGTAGTACTCTGTGGCATCATTGGAATAGTTCAGTATCAGTCATCACAAGGGGCGCCCATATAACAAAAGTCAGGTGGGGTCACATTCGCTGTCCCAGAACAAAGTAATTTATGTTCAGCAAGATTTCTGTCGACGAGGCGTGGGTGTGGGAGAGGGGGTGTCCGTAGCGGCGATTGAAAATTGAATGCTTTATCGATTTTGACATATGAGGTCTCTAGAACTTAACAGCACGAGTAACACTGGATATACTAAAGCTTTAATAAATTAAAATCAAGCGTTTGAATAAAAAAAAATGTCAATCTTGAAATCCCTATTCCACTGGGTGCAGCTTAAATAGCTGGATGAAGTTTGAAATATTTCTAGATTTGTATTGACGGTGCGAGTAACAATTTTATAAAATAAAAATGGAAGGTTCTAAACGCAATCCTCAACTTTGAGATTTATATTTCACGGGCTACCGCTCATACATTCTTTTCACGTATTGCAGGGTGGCAACTCAGATGGCCACTGGTTGCTTTTACTTGAATGCTTTATCGATTTTGAAATGTGAGGTCTCTAGATCTTAACAGCACGAGTAACACTGGATATACTAAAGCTTTAATAAATTAAAATCAAGCGTTTGAATAAAAAAAAATGTCAACCTTGAAATCCCTATTCCACTGGCTGCAGCTTAAATAGCTGGATGAAGTTTGAAATATTTCTAGATTTGTATTGACGGTACGAGTAACAATTTTATAAAATAAAAATGGAAGGTTCTAAACGCAATCCTCAACTTTGAGATTTATATTTCACGGGCTATACATTCTTTTCACGCATTGCAGGGTGGCAACTCAGATGGCCACTGGTTGCTTTTACTTATTAAGCGAAAGCCAGCGGACATAAGCCTCCCTTTGACCCCCACTACCCCCTCCCCCCCCAATGAGCGTCCATAGACTAACACGGTGTACATTCTGTTATGAGCAGCCAGCAGCCTCCATAATACTATGCACTCATTAGACCGCTCCCCGAGCGGCGTCGCCAATGATCAGAATCTAGGATCCAGTGTAGCCAGCTGCATCCTCAAAACAGAAAGAAGAAACTTGACAGATTGGGTAGCTTCCATATATATTTCAGAAGAATAGTCTAACTACAAATGCTTGCGACGTCGCCATGGTAGATTAAATTTCATATATAATTTTGTGTGTACATACGTAGTCCAATTTCAAATCTTTATAAAAATGTTTATTTTTTTTATTCATATGCATAGCTAAAGCAAACTCACTCAGAATAAGTTAATTAGCCATGCTTTTGTTTAGCACCTAAGACTGATTGCAGCATTTTGGAGAGAGTACAGAGTTGACCTACTTGATCCCATTTTCTGACATAATACCGACCTACTACGGCCTTATCTGATGATGTCATTTACGCGGAACAGAAACAAAGTTCAAGTAACATATTATAATTCTTAAGAATGGTATACTACATAGTAAGTTTATCAAGTAATCAAAACGTATAGTAAACTTCATCGACTGAACTAAAAATTGACAAAGCGGAAACTAAAAGCGTACAGTATATCGGTTTCACATCGGCTTCCTGACATTTAAAGGATAGACAGACCGTTTCCAAGACTTATTAGTTGAAATAATTCCATTGTATAAGTTATCCTGCAGTAGTCACCCTTAAGGAAGATATAGAAGTGCAGGGGTTAGTTGCCTCTTGCCTTTTGTATTCCTTCGAATGACCTTTGTAAATGCCAGTGTTAGGTTACAGACTCGCGCGCCATACGACTACTGTTATCTTGATTCGGTTGAGTTCAAGTCG